CACCTTGTTGTCTCGGATTCTCCAGCATCTGCAGTTCCTACTATCTCAGATCTTTTCCCAGTGCAGTTTTGAAGTGAGTCTGTAAGTTTGAGGGCATGGCCTGTCTTTGAATGGGTGGTGTTTAAATTTATAAATGTAGTTTGTTGTACAACCCAACTTCACTTTAAAGTACAAATAGTTGACCTCCAAGGCAGCTCCTACAACAAAATCCCTTTTGACTTTTGCTTCTGTGGTGCCATACTGAAGCCCACTGCTGGTCCTTCTTCACCCTCTGCTTCAAGTCCCACAATGTTACTTTGCCTTGCCAGTTGGCTCAGGATGGTATTGGAAAGTTTTCTAATCAGTGCCTCTTCTTGCCTTTGAATGTAGTCTAACTCTGAAACTCTCTCAGCTCTTCTGAAAGTGGCTTTAGGAACAGGGTGCCACTCATACAAGCCATCCGAGGACTTTGCTACTGTTTCCACCCTTCCTTGGGATGGCTCAGTGGCTCAGTGGTTAGCAATGCTGCCTCACAGCCCTAGGAGCCTGGGTTCAATTCCCAGCCTCAGGCGACTGTCTGTATGGAGTTTGCATGTTCTCCCTGTTTCTGTGTGGGTTTCCTCTGGGAGCTCTGGTTTCCTCCCACAGTCCAAAGATGTGTAGGTTAGATGGATTGGCCATGCTAAATTGCCCCCCTGTATCCAGGGAAGGTAGGTTAGCTGTGGGCAATTCAGGATTACTTGGTCTGGGTGGGATTCCTTTTCAGAGGGTCTGTGTGGAGTCAATGGGCCAAAGGCCTACTTCCAAACTGTAGGGATTCTATGTTTCATAGGCCTCCTCTCACCCGCTTTCATCTATTACTATCATTGTTAACCTTCCTTCCTCATGATCGTCTAGCTTACTCATTGTGCCTCCTTGTGGTAGCATAATCCACAAAAATGCCCAATTCAATGCTTCTACTGAGTTGACTGTTCTTAGCTGAAGTGATGTTCAAAGTGACCTTAATATCCCTGGAATAAAAGCAAAATACAGTGGATGCTGGATTCCTGAAAGAGAAAGTGCTGGAGAAACTCAGAAGAGTTTTCTGTCTCTACGGATGCTACCAGACCTGCTGAGTTTCTCCAGCAAATTCTCTTTCTACTTCTGAATATCCTTGGACTTGCAAGTGGGGACAAAAAGAGAGAGAATTGGCCACTGTTGCTCATTTAACCAAGTGAGCCTTGTTTGTGGACCAGAGGTTGAATTCATAGAATCCCTACAGTGTGGAAACAGGCCCTTCAGGTCCACACTGACCCTCAGAGCATCCCACCCAGACCCATCCCCCTGTAAACACTACAGGCAATTTAGCATGGCCAATCTACCTAGCCTGTACATCTTTGGACTGTGGGAGGAAACCAGAGCACCTGGAGGAAATCCACACAGACACAGGGAGAATGTGCAAACTCCACACAGTCAGTCACCTGAGGGTGGAATTGAACCCAGGTCCCTGATGCTGTGAGGCAGCAGTGCCAACCACTGAGCCACTGTGCCACCCCAAATTGTATGTGTGTGGTAATGTCATTTTATAGCAGACAGTTTCAGAGACATCGGTCATACCTTCTAACTTCCCAAGTGACCAACTTGCAGAAACTGACCAGATCGTTTGACTTTGAGTGTTGTTATTGATGAACCTAACCCAGAGCTCCTAATATCCCCTCTCACAGATTTAGTTTCACTGGTTTTTCCTTTCCCTCTATCTATGCAGAATAAGATTAATTGTAGAACACCTCCAGTGACCTTCCTCAGTGTCTGTCTGTGTCTGTACATTGGTTGAAGACAGAATACAAACCCCTATCCCCAATAGCCTGTTTATTCATGTTTAGTTTCACAGGATCAGATGGTCTCTTGGCTGAGAACCAGAAAGGTGATCAATACTTGTGATTCATGCTTTGACGTGAGGCAAATGCGAAGGAGAGACGAAGGTGAGGAGACAAAGACATTAACACTCCAATCGTAACCTTTCTGTTCTTTGCCTTCACCACAGGGAGGACCCATGGAGAGCAGCAAAGATGATCAAGTGCTACATGCAACAGCACAATATCCCACAGCGAGAAGTGGTAGACACAACTGGCTTAAACCAGTCTCACTTGTCGCAACATCTGAATAAGGGAACGCCAATGAAAAACCAGAAAAGGGCTGCTCTCTACACCTGGTATGTCCGGAAACAGAGAGAGATCGCCCAGCGTAAGTATCATTCTTTTCCGTACCTCGTTGCTTGGCTGAAGCTCCAGGCATAGCCAATGAATTTTGCATTAATGCAGCCATTCAGAATTCTGGATAATTTACTTCCAGAAGTAATTCACTTCTCTTTTTGTCACACTTTTTCCCTTTAAAAGAAATTCTGTGCACTGCTATTTTGTGCCTCACTCTTCCCTGAACGTTGTGATAAGCAGCAATTTTCACCCAGGCTTCTGTAACCAGAACTGTACAGCTCTCCCAGAGGAAATGCTGCAGTACTCCAAGATAAAGGACTCTCTGCTTCTCTTCCCCTTCCTTTGAAGCAGCACCAAAGTTCCCACAAACAGCGTTTTCTGATGACCTGACTGAGAGAAGGAGTTGATGTCTAAGTGAAGTAAAGATGCAATGTGTTCATGCTGCATTCCTGACATTCTCGTTTACTCATAAGCACAGTTTCCTTCTTAAGTTTTTCAATTACTCCACTGCCACTGTTACTGTGGCAGTATTTTCCCTCCTGGCTGAATGCAAGGGATGTCCTGAGAGATCAAAGCCTGTTGTAATGTTGATTGGAGACCATAGGTAGGTCACTGGTTCTGTCTGGGCCAGATAGAGTATGACTCACACACATTGAAAGTAACAGCGAGTCACCTGGTCAAAGTGAAACCTAAAGCTTTTGGGGAAGAAAGGTCTTGAATGTTCCTCCAGTATTGACAAAATTAGAGAGGTCACTTCAGATCCCAGACCCACACTTGCAGATGTTGAAGACCGTCCCATTCCTCCGCACAGAGTCACCTTATTCCAGCCATTCCAACCAATACTGATTCATCTCTGGCCCAGCTCGTACCTTAGAATGAACACTGAGGGATGGCATTGCTGGTGGATGGGAAACTCATTGTAGGATCTGACAATAGAAGCCATGACTAGAAGTGCAAGGTCGGCTGAGAGGGGCAAGAACTCACTGAGTTGTTTGAAATGCAGCACAGCCATTGGAAAGTGAGCAGAGCTTCCTGTAAGATGCTCAACTTCTTGCTTTTGGAATTTTCACTCCTTATTGAGGATCCCACAGCCGGCACATACCGTGATGGATTCTATTACAGGAGAACTGCTGATAAGTGTTGTCAATTCCCAATCGCAGGTGTAACAATCTAAGGACTGAAGGTAATGCATCCCACTCAACAAAGTGCAAAGGAGTTGACCTGTGCATATTCCCAATAGCAGTAAAACAGAATCTAAGCTCCCCAGAATCTTTACAGTGCAAAAGGAGGCCATTCAGCCTGCACTGACCCTCTGAAGAATATTCCACCCACACCCTACCTGATCCCCATGGCTAACTCACCTAGCCTGCACGGTGTAGGCAATTTAGCATGGCCAATCCACCTAACCTGCATGTCTTTGGTCTGTGAGAGGAAACTGGATCACCAGGTGGAAACCCACATAGATACGGAGAGAACATGCAAACTCCACGCAGACAGTTATCTGAGAGTGGAATCAAACCCTGGGGGTCCTTGGTGGTGTGAGGCAGCAGTGCTAACCACACAGCCACCATGCCGTCCAATTCATTATGCATTAGTCTTGTCTAGGAGAAAATTAAAGCTGTCAGGAATGAATTATAATTGCACTAGTTTCCTCAGTGTTGTACCTGTGGGTCCTGGAGCTGTGCCTGTAGCAACAGAAAATGATTGAGAGCAGACTCCATTGTGGAAACAGGACTGGGAGGCTGTGGCACCTGGCAAAAATATTATGAATTTAATACTTAAACAGAAATGATTACTTTAATGAGAGTGCACGTGCAGTAGAATTGATTTAGACATAACTGATTGTAATGATCTTGAGTACAAAGCGCTACGTTTAGTGAACTCATGCATGTGTGTGTCTGTCTGTTGACAAATATTCTTTAGATTTTGATTAAAACTGATTACTGATACAACAGAATTGACAGCAAAACAGGCCATCAGTTGAATGAACCTGTGCTGGATATTATACTTTACCCGATGTTCCCTGCTCCGTGTCATCTCACTGTGTCAACGTAACCTCTGCCACACCTCCCTGAAATCTGTCCTCAGTTACTCCATGGCATAGCAAGTAGCAGCAAGTTACACGTTGTCATTGCTGTCTGGGGAAAGCAGTACCTCCTGAATTCCTCTTTGGGTTTATTAGTCACTACCTCATGTTTCTGCCCCTTTGATCTGGACACTCCGTCTTCTCCACGCCTGCCCTTTTAATTTTAAAAACCTCAATTCCTTCAGCCCTCAAATGAAAGTCCCAGTCTGGCCAATCTTTCTCGATGAGATATGACCTGACGATGTATGCAAAATGCTAAAAGAAACAAAAGGCTAAATTTAACAAAACATTGGCTAGGTTGTTTCGTGGAGGGTTGCTTTCTCTGAGTTTGAGTGATTTATCGTATACAATTCTCTGCTGCTCACCTTATTATGTATGCATCATATCTGTACCCATTTTTCCCCTAATCAACCTGTTCAGAGATGTTATTACACACCTCTAGAGCAAGTGGGACTTGAACCCAGACCCCTGGTCCAGGGGAAGGGGCATTACCACCACACCACGTCTGTGTGGGGCTGTGTTGATGCTATTCCGCTCTCACCAGCAGTGGGAATGCTCCCTCACCACTGCTGGCACCTTCCTGGATTCAGCTTAAAGCTGAGCTCTGCAGCAGGTCAGTCATTGCCAGGCAAAATAGCCCATCACAGCACACCTCAAGGGAGGGAAATGAAAAACGAACAGTTTGAGGAAGCATAGGTGACACAGGTGGTGCTCTATTGAAAAGAGAATCTCAGGTTTGTAAATGCATTACCTCCTTACATCATTATTTGTCTGATCAACTGTCTCAGTAGTGCAGCAACAAGAATAAAGCCACATGGGAGGCATCCCTGTAAGGCACCTGGCTCTTGAAATGAAGCAGGAACCTGAGAATTATCAAGGCTATATGCATTTTGGTATGTGCCAGGGTGCCTGGCACAGACCTTGAAGATGTGGCATCAATGATCTCTGATGACTTATATGTTTTACTGAATGCAAGCCTTTTCTATTGATTTTAAACCTACATGTGCTGATCTGTTCCTCTCATTGCGTTCTGTGTACTATCTATGGCACCCGACACCAGGGGCAAGCCAAGTATGTTGGTCCAGTATACTGTCTTAAACATCTGTGGGTTGAGGATTGAGAAATCCCACACAGCTCTCCAATAGCTCTTTGAAAGAATTTAGTGAGGCTGTCACCTTGACAGCCATTGGGATGGGATGGCCACAGAGTCCCTCAGGTCACAGTTTCTACTCCAGATGACACAGTTCTGTTACACTGTTCCCAGGACATCCTCATTCGAGGGCAGTCAAACACATCTGGAGGACACAGTGTTGAGAGTGATCAACTGTGGGCCTCCTGGATTTCCTCCACCACACTCCGAGGGACACTTCAGCTATGTAGTTGCCTGTGGGAGGCTGCTTGGCATCAGTTGCTGCTGGCTCTGAGCTTGGTGGTCCATCTGCGTCGTCTCCGTGTTCTGAACCTTTGTCCCACCATGGTGGCGGTGAGGATGACCCTGCTGTGACTGGCTGCATTGAACCTGTGTGGGGAGTATCAGAAACAAACCTGGTCCTCAGTAATGTGAAACAGGCAGAGTTTGATTCATGTACCAATGACAGTCTAGTGCAGCCCTTCATACAGTTGGACATGGAGGACTCTCACTAAGGAGGGTCATTAATGCCTCTGCGTGGACCTTTCGTTGTTGGGGTCCTTATTCCGGTCATGTTGTGCACGTATAGTGGAGGATTGTAACTAGGGTAAAGTTAATGAAATCTCAACCCTAACCTCTGCACTATAATGATAAGCAGCCCCTAACCTTGACTGCTCTGTGCAGCTGGCTAACTGACTGTGATCGAGTCTGGACTGAGATCAGACTTTGACTGGAGCAGGACCCCCGTCTGAAACAGTCGCCGTTGACTTGACTGAGGACGTATTTGTTTCAAGAACAAAAACAAAGTTGCTGGTAAAGTTCAGCAGGTCTGGCAGCATCTGTGGAGGAGAAAACAGAGTTAACGTTTCGGGTCCGGTGACCCTTCCTCAGAACATATTTGTTTCAACCTTGAGACACGATCATTGGGTTGAAGCACATTAGTGTGTGTTTGTCTCATGTGCTCCTGGCACATGTAGGTTTTATTTTTAAATTTATTCATGGGATGAGGACGTCGCATATATTACCCATCCCTAATTGCCTAGAGGGCTGTTAAGGGTCAACCACATTTCTGTAGATCACGTGTAGGCCATAAGGATGGCAGTTTCCTCCTCTAAAGGGCACCAGATGGGGTTTTTTTTCTCAACAATCAACATTTGTTTCATGGTTATCGTTGGACTCTTAATTTCAGATGTTTTTAATTGAATTCAACTTCCACTATCCAGTTTCCCAGAACTTTTCTGAAGAAGGGCCCTGACCCGAAATGTCAGCTTTCCTTCTCCTGTGAAGCTGCCTGGCCTGCTGTGTTCCACCAGCTCCACACTGTGTTATCTCTGACTCCAGCATCTGCAGTTCTTGCTATCTCCCAGAACATTATCTGGGTCTCTGGATTAACAATCCAGCAATAATACCACTAGGCCATCACCTCGCTGCAACTAAAGTGTGTTCTTGATGTAGCACAGTGCCATTAGGTAACATGACCCTTGACCGTTCATTGCTGGTAAACAGTGTCAAGCTGCCAGGCTTTGGTCTGCGGTAAAAGGCAAGACAAGACACATACTGAATGAGGGGGCATTGTGTAAAAAGGCAGGGCGAGGCAGAAATGCAGTGAGCATCTGAATTTGCACAATTGGGTGAGCAAGCACTGAGAGAGCAAACTGAGATACATGCTGCAGGAGACAGGTCCCTGTCCCTGTGTGGAATGTGGCCTGGTAGCAGCATTGCTGGTGCTCTCTGAGTTGCAGTATTGTAATAGTGCACTGTTTCTGAATGAGTCCGATATGTGCCATGCGGATCTCGTGCTTGGTTGACGTCAGCGTCTATGGATGAAGGATGCAGGTGGTCACTGACAATAGAGTGTGCCTGGGAATGTTGGGAAAGGCTGGCCAAGGTCCAGGCTCGGGTGGAGCTGCTCTGACATTCATGCTCGCTATTGTTGCTGTCGAAATAAAAACCGAAAGAACTGCGGATGCTGTAAATCAGGAACAAAAACAAAGTTGCTGGAAAAGCTCAGCAGGTCTGGCAGCATCTGTGAAGGAAAAGATCAGAGTTAACATTTCGGGTCCTCGTTCTGAGGAAGGGTCACCAGACCCGAAACGTTAACTCTGTTTTTTCCTTCACATTGTTGCTGTCTAGTTTCTCTTCCACTGTCTGTGCAAAAAGAGCAAACCGCATGTCAATAGAGCATGAATAGCTACTAATGAGATGTTAATCCACACAATTAGGTCTCTTGTGGCTCACTCGCATGACTCTCCTCTTGTTCAAACTGTGGGTGGAAAATTGGATGTTTTCTCTCAACGGCAACAGCAATCTCATCTTTCCGATCTCGCTGTATTTTCCCAACTGACTCGCTAATTGTCCATGCCATTCAGAGACCGGGAACATTCTGCCCAAAGTGTTGTACAGATAACAAATAATTCTCCTACAGTCAAATGTACTTTCTCTGAACATGGATTAATGATGTTCTGTTTAACCCAAGGAAGTTTGGTCTATGTATAGATACCTCCGCCCCGATGATTATTTCCACTTAACTAAAATCCTTTAATTATACTTTCTAAATGGATCAGCTACCCTGGAGCTTAGCTTTTAAATTGAAATACAGAATAAATGCAATTTACAGTCAGACCTGTAACCTGAGGCAGGGAATGCAGCTGCCATCCACAGTTCAACTAAACCCACACCAACTGCACATATTCAGATCTCAGCCCAGTGTTAATCCCTGGTCTTGTGTCTGTTGCAAACCCTTCTCTGTGAGAAATGCTGGAACCAATACAAACTGCACTGAAGAAGTGTTGTTGGCTTGTGACAAACAACCGGATTAATCAATGATATGTTTTTCAGAGCAGATTATACGAAAAAGCCTGAGTCGTGAAGTGAATACTAGTGTCCCCTTTCATTTACTAAGGTGCTAATACATAGCAGACAGTGACTGTCCCATAATAAGGGAGTACCAATGATAGAAACCCAAGAGCAAAGATCAAATAGTTTATTGTCTGAAAGCTGACATTATAGCATTGAATTTTTGCTCGGGTACCTGTTACCCTTTGGGCAAGATCAACTTCAACCTCATACAACATAAAATTTCCAGTACACATAAACACCACTGGTTTCCTGATCAGAGATAGTAGTTCTCTCCTGCTGTTATTTGATGTAATTCACTCTTGTAACTCTCGTTTCTGACTGAACTGAAACCTCGGGTCCATGGGCATCATAGGATGGTGAAGGGCAGCTACAAGGTCAGAAATTACTGGGAAAACTCAGCAGGTCAGGAAGCACCAGTGGAGAGAAGGCAGAGTTAATGTTTCGGGTCTGGTGACCCTTCTCCCGCATTTCTGTGTTTTTTTTTCATAATCATTACCTACCATTGTATGACCTCTTGCTGCCAGTGTGAAGAAAGTTGGTAAATGAAATATTGTTCACTCCAGTTACATTAAAGTGATGCTTGGCTGCTTGGTATAAACCCAAAGGTGTTTACCTGTGCTTGCAATAATTAAATGGAAAAATCCAGACGTTTAAAAATAAATGCTTCTTGTGTCAGTTGGCAGTGAAGCTCCTTGAGCCAGAGAATACCTCAAACCTTGGAGTTTTCTGAGTGGGGAACTCAAGCCGACAATTGTCGCACAATTTGCTAAAGTGTACAAAGGATTCTCTCAGTCACCAAGCAGGTAGAGCTGGCCTACACTCAGTAACAACAAATGGAGCCTTAGAAAATGCACATTATTACATCGTGCTTGGGTTTCTTACTCATTAACTTCAAATAAGTTGTCATTCTTTTATTAGCCTGCTTCATGCTGCTGAAATACGGTAGACAAACTGCACATACAAAACGTCTTCTGTCACAACATACTCTCAGTATAGAATACTATTCTCTGGCTCCCAAAGAGAATGTGCAGCCATATGTGAGTTGTCTATGGATTAATCAGTATTTGTGTGCCACTACACATGCTATATTCTACCCTGCTTCATATCCGTGCAAACTGCATGATATATGGTAAGTTCTACATTTTGGCCAACCTGTCAGAAGATTGTGTACAGTTCTGTTCACCACACAATCAGAAGGATGTGGATGCTTTGGAGAGGGTACAGAACAGGTTTACCAGGATGTTGCCTGGTATGGGGGATTTTAGCTGTGAAGAAAGGTTGGATAGACTGGGTTTGTTTTCACTGGAATGCAGGAGGTTGAGGTCCAACGTGATAGACGTTTATAAGATTGTGAATGGCATGGACAGAGTTGAAAGTATGAGGCTTTTTCCCAGGGTGGAGTGGTCAATTATTAGGGGACACAGGTTCAAGGTGTGAGGGGGGAGTTTAAAAGAGATGTGTGAGGCAAATTTTTCACACAAAGGGTGGTGAGTGCCTGGAACCTGCTGCCAGAGGAGGTGGTGGAAGCAGACACAATACAAGCATTCAAGAAACACCTAGACAAATACATGAATAGGAGGGAAATAGAGGGATATGGATCCTGTAGGTGAAGACAGTTTTGGTATGGAAGGGCGAAATATGTCAGCACAGGCTTCGAGGGCCGAAAGGCCTGCTCCTGCACTGTATTGTTATTTGTTCTAAGAATAAACTAAGAGAGCAGGTGGAAGGCAGTTATAAATTGTACAACTATTACGTTATGAGCAAAGCAGAAATCAAATCTAGATTTTTATAATCAACCTGTTATGTCAGGATACACCTCTGGAGGGGGTGGGACTTGAACCCAGGCCTCCTGGCTGAGAGGTAGGGACACTATCACTATATCACAAGACCCTTTAATGAAATCCAAGACATGAGGTCTTTCTCTGCACAGCTAATGAACAGGATTATTAAACATTGTTAGGTCAAGGTGAAAATTCCAAAAGACGAAGAATGTGGGCTGCAGTATTTCAAGGTTCTAGTTCTTTTTTTTAATGAACTTTTGATCGTACAAGTTTCCATTTTTTTTTTGAAGAAAGAAACAAGCGACATTTATTTCTTCTTTTCCGTTGCAGAGTTCAGCCAACCAACACAGAAGACAGGCCAGAATGTGGCAGAGAGCAGGCAGCAGCTGTTTCTCTTCGCAGAGTACAGCAGTGCAGCTCAGGGAGCTCCTGGGGAAGAACCTATCGAAGAGCCAATCAGCAAGAAGATGAGGAGAAACCGATTCAAGTGGGGTCCCGCCTCGCAGCAAATCTTATTTCAGGCTTACGAGAGACAAAAGAACCCAAGCAAGGAAGAACGGGAAGCATTGGTCGAAGAGTGTAACAGGTAAGTGGAATGAGTCGTGATACATGTGGTACTGAACAAAGGGCACTTATTAAAATTGCTCTGTGTGTGAATCAGCTGGTATCAGGCCAGCAGCTGGTAGAGGACTACCACTGACTTTAGCAATGCTGAGACGGTAGGGTTGGCAGGGCAGGGGTTGGCTAGAGTAGGGGTGGTAGGAATGTGTAGCTGCAACTTGTCAGGCTCTTATGCTTGGTAGATGCTGTTATTATAAAGAGCTGTGTGAACATAGGTTGAGGACGACACTGGATGTAGTGTTGGCACCCTTCATAACCACATCATGATGATGCCAAGTTGAACTCATCATCTGAAGAAAGGCCATTCAGGTGAACTGGTAAGACTCCCAATGCATGGACAAACAAACTCAAGGATGAGCTACTCCAATGGGAAGAGACAAACAGCATGGGATTGAAGAAATGGGAGTAAAGGAACAAGAATAAGTCCACCAAGCTCACAGTAATTCTATCTATCATCCTACATCCCCACCCTTCATATTCTTTAACATTCCTACTTCCTAACAAAGTATTGTTTTACCTTTATATAATTGCTTCTCACATCAATAGCCCTCCAGCACCATTATATTCTCTCATCATCTGTCAACTTGAATCTCCTTAGATTCTCTTTGAACCAGCTTAGGCTCTGATATGGTTATTTCCTTGCTGTCAAGCTAATGCTGGAGGGAAGAGTTGTTTCACCCTAAACTCCTTCACAATTAAATGCACCAATCAGATCACTGTCTTTCTCCAGCGCTGACTGCACAAGATCACCTCAGTGCCTCATAAAAGTTCAATGCCTTTAGTTTAGCTATCATAAAATATGGGCAAGCCAGCCTTGGCAGATCCAAATGGAGATGTCTGTCATCAAGCAATCTCAATGTTCTTAAGAATCAAGCCCTTACAGGACAAGTGCCAACATCACAAATCTTCATTCATCCCTCCACAAGTGACTGTATATAATATTTACAATCAGTTCTGCAAATCAATGATTGACTTAACGTCACATATAAAAGATGATAGAAACCTAGATTTTGAACTCCTGGTCTCCTTGTTGAATACTCATCTACTGAGGTGACAGGAGAATCCTTAAATCAGGACCAGAGCTATATACAATATATCGGATGAGGAATTTCTATCACTACCTATAATTGTGGCACAGCTTCAAGTACAGTTTGAATACTTTTGAAATACTGTAAACCATCTGACCATGTGCTGTAGTTGTACGATAATGAAGAATGTTGAGGGTCCTGTTCTGACTCTGTAGATGCTGATATTTTAAAAACTATCCAAATGCCTTTTAAATGGTGTAACTGTACTTTGATCTACCACTTCCTCTGGCAGTTCATTCCACACACGAACCACCCTCTGTGTGAAAAAGTTGCCTCTGAGGTCCCTTTTAAATCTTTCTCTTCTCACCTTAAAATACACCCCCTACTTTTGAACTTACCCATCCTAGGGAAAAGACCTTTGCAATTCACCTTATCTGTGCCCCTCATGATTTTATAAACCTCTATAAGGTCACCTCTCAACCTGAAGACTGAAGCAAAACATTGGTTTGAATTTTCTATCGTTTCCCTGCTCCTTGTTATTAATTCCCCAGTTGCATCCTCCAAGGATGCCACACTTACTTCAGCTAGTCTCTTTTTATATACTCATCAAAGCTAAAGCTGTTTTATATTTCTTGCCAACCTACTTTCATTATCAACTTTATCCCTCTTTATTAGTTTTTTAGTTGTTACTGCTTGTTCCTGAAAGATCCAATTCTCTGGCCTACCTTTTCTGAAGAAGGGTCTAGGCCCGAAACGTCAGCCTTCCTGCTCCTCTGATGCTGCTTGGCCTGCTGTGTTCATCCAGCTCTACACCTTGTTATCTCTGGCCTACCACTAGTTTTTGCCCCTTTGTGTGCCTTGGTTTTGATTGGATGCTCTCCTTGACTGTCTTTATTAAACATGGGTGGTTCACCCTTCTCATTGAGTCCTTTTTGACCAGAATTAACTTATTGCTGAGCATTCTGAAATATCTACTTAAAGGTCTGCCCCAGCTCATCTACTGACTTTCCCCTCAGTCTGTTTTCCCAGCTCACTTTAGACAACTCTTTCTTCACAGCCTGACCCTACAGTGGCTTTGTGATGAACTGTAACCTGTCAAAATCTACCTTTGTGTCAACGTGTTGAACATAGGGGCAGTCATTGACAGAGGTTATGTCTGCAGTTATTGACTAACTGGAATAATTGTTGTTGAAGTTAGCTCACTTAGTGGTATTTTAGTGATTCCTGATGGTCTAGCCACCCTCACTCAATCTTTGAATGTCTCTCTGAAACATCCCTTAAGGAATAGCATGAGGATAAAAGAACATAGAACATTGAACATAGAACAGTACAGCACAGTATAGGCCCTTCGGCCCGCAATGTTGTGCCGAACTTTTACCTTAAACCTAAGGACTATCTAACATCCACCCCTACCTTATACTAACATCCATATGCCTATCTAATAGCTGCTTAAATGCCCCTAATGAGGCCGACTCCACTACCCTCTCCGGCAATGCATTCCACGCCCTGACCACTCTCTGAGTAAAGAACCTACCTCTGATGTCTCCCCTATATCTACCTCCACTCCCTTTAAAACTATGTCCCCTCTTAATAGCTACTTCCACCCTAGGAAAAAGTCTCTGGCTGTCCACTCTATCTATACCTCTGATCATTTTGTACACCTCTATCAAGTCAAAAAGTGGATTATCAGAGGAGAGGAGACATTCGACAACGTTCCAATGTTTTATGTTATTCTGAACTTTTTATTTCTTTATTTTCTAATGTATTTATATGATCTCTAATGCTGGATTTTTTTATTTCTTTATTTTTCTATATTTTTCCCTAAGAATTAATACTTATGAATCTGTACCTACCTTTGTATGTAAGATGGCGCGGAAGAGGCAACTTGTAAACTTCTCAATGCGAATACACGTGACAATGAACCTAATTCTGCAAAGGCCAGTTCTAATTCTAATTATGCTAATGTTAGCCTATGTGGATGAGTTGTAGCGGCCTGGTTGGAATTAGAATGAAGATTGTTGTCAAGTCAACTTAAAAATGCGAGATACTCAATGCACTTGATGGCACAAAAGGGGCTTATTGTGGAGTGAAATAGTGATGGCAGTGTACCTTGCTGATGAAAATGATCTTGATGATGGTTATGGTGTTGCCATTCAAGAAGCAGAATGGGATGCAACATTTGATTCTGAAGAGGACAAGGAAGAGGGTGAGACGCATTCTATGCATGCTGTGTTGCTATGTAGTATTCTTTCCTGTACCGTGGAAAAAGTTGCATGAAATCGTCTAAAGTTATGTACGTGGCTTTTGTTCTTGTTGGATTTGATAAATGTAACGAATTTAGAGAACAGTCCAAACACTCCCACAGTCCAAAGATGTGCAGGCTAGGTGGATTGGCTATGCTAAATTGCCCATAGTACCCAGGGATGTTTAGGTTAGGTGGGTTAGACATGGGAAATGCAGGGGTAGGGGAGTGGTTGTGGGCGGGATGCTCTTCAGAGGGACGCTGTGGACTTGTTGGGCCAAATGGCCTGTTTCCATACTGTAGGGATTCTATGATTATCTATGATTATTCAATGATAACAGTGATTAGTGCCTATCTTCATGGTGTTTATTGTTTATTTATAACAAAATTAAATAGCGGGCATACTTTCGGCTCCTTTTGAGGGCAGGTACAGTCTCTAATGTGGCAGAGCAATAGTGAGGCAATGACAGAGAGTGGATTTCAAACTTCCCGAAAATATTACTCATATAAAAAGTGACCCCCTACTTTTTTGATTAAACCTGTAAGTTATAGAAACTCCACTTCTGCACATGTATACAATAGCCTTTGTGTTTTCTGGCACCTCACGAACCTGAATCCTCCTCCAACTGGTATCTCTGAAGTTTGCCCTGGGCTTTCCAGCATGAAATACTGATGTCAGTCTGAAGTGATTGTGAAAATAACTGGCTGAACGTTGAAGTATTTTCTCCCAACAATGAGAAGAGTCAAAGGTAGAGAGGCTGCAAATTGCACGATATGCCAAGGCATGTTTTAGTTCACTTCCAGTGATTGCCATAAACTGTGGGGTGTTAACCAGTCCTCGTGTGTGCCGGATAATGTGAATTTGATTGTAGTGGTAGTTGACAGCTAAAGGCTGTGAAATGACATTGTTGGGGGTGTAATGTGAAGAAGTCAGAACCAGCACAAATCAAATCATGAGCTACTCGTTCTTGAGAGAGCTGTACAGCGAGGGGGTGGCTTCTAGGAATGGAATTTGCATCTATTTACTTCTGTCTTCCCCTCAGGATGGCAATGGTTCACAGATAAATGTTAGCAATCTATTTTCTTTTTGATCTATTGTATTAGCTAAATTCCACTGCATTGGGCAATTGAACATTGAAATTGGCTTCAGCATTACTGACTCGGGGCAGGAGGAAGACAGCTAAATTAATAGGTACAGGAGAAGGAGTGTTCAGCTTTTCATTCCCATTCTGCTGTTCAGTTCGATCACAGTTGGTCTGCAATTTCACTCCGTTTACCCAACTTGATTTTGTTGCCCTTTTTATAGCCTTGCCAAGCACAAATCTGCCATTTTTAATTTCAAAATCTTCAACTGAGCTTTCGTTTTTTGGGGATGGTTTTAGATTTCTGTTGTTTGTTGGGTGATGGAGTGCTTCCTGGTGTTGCCTGTGAGGCTGTAGTTTTAAGGTCGTGTCCTACCCTTAGCAAAGGAACTGGAATGACTACACCTTGTTCTGTGCCTTAAAAACACTTTTCAACCCCCATCCTAACTCCCTACCTACACTCACCTTTACTGACTCCATCCCCGCCACCCTGACCTATCCATCTTTTCTCCCACCTATCTGCTCCTCCCACCTCAAGACCTACCCCCACCTCCTACCTACCAGCCTCATCCCCGTCTCCTTGACCTGTCCGTCTTCCCTTGACTGACCAACC